AATCTCTGGCAAGGATCTGACAGAACACTTCTTCCTAAGGTGTGAATGACTGAAAAGCTAGATGTGTCACCTCTTAGAGGGCAAACTCTTCTCCTTTGAAGCCCATCTATATTCCAAACTCTAGTGTTTGGTTTGTGGAAGCAAATTTGGAGAGTCTTCACAGGGAAAAGAATAGGTTCCAAAAAAACATCGTATGTGTCACCGACTTTTAGTACCAAAGTGAGCTCAGCCCCCAAATCTCCCTTCACAGGTGACCAGGCAGGTCAATTCATATACCACACATCATAGATAACTCATGTCTATGTGCAAAAAGTATTTCTTACCCATTATGCTAAAATTTAGACTAACCAATTTTTCCCCATAATGTCGTTGAATGGTAAAGGCAGTAACTATTTTTTGAGGGATTTTGTTGTTGTTGTTATTGTTTTCCTCCTTAAAATGCTCAGATATGTAATTTCATCAAAATTTATAATGCTTGAAGATATGAAATAATTCTCCACTCATGAAACATCTCATCTGCTTTCTTGAAAACTCAGCTTGTAAAGAGGACAGAGGAAAATCCTATTGTTTTATTAGTATTGGTCATAGAGTATGAATGGTTTTATACACTTTTATGACTCTGAGAACTTGTTTATAATTAAAAGGGGCAAAGAAGATCACTGTCATGAGTGACAAAAATACTCTCCACAAACGCAAAAAAAAAAAAAAAAAAGCAAGAGTTTAATAACCAAGACTCTATAGTGCTTAACGGCTTATTGGAATAAAGAAACCAACATTTATTGAAAGCCAGTCATAGTAGGTTGAAGTGGTTTGTTCAGTCCAAACAGCCAAGAAGTCTAGACTTTGGCTTTTCTTTTTTCTCCAAACTTGGTAACCTTTCCACCATTCCACATAGAACTGGAGAACTCACCAAAGAAGACATTCAAGCAACTAACAGACACATAAGGAAATGCTCATGATCACTAGCCATTAGAGAAATGCAAATCAAAACCACAATAAGATACCATCTGACCCCCACCATTACTGGTATGAATCAAAAAACAGAAAATAACAAACGTTGGAGAGTCCGTGGGGAGATTGGAACACTTATGCACTGCTGGTGGGAATGCAAAATGGTACAACCATTTTGGAAGATGATATGGTGCTTCCTTAGAAAGCTAGAAATAAAAATACTATGCAACCAGCAATCCCACTGCTAAGAATATATCCTAGAGAAATAAGAGTCGTCACATGAATAGACACATGCACACCCACGTTCACTGCAGCATTGTTAACAATAGAAAAAAGATGGAAACAACCCAAATGCCCATCAACAGATGAATGGATAAACAAACTATGGTACAGACACACAATGGAGTATATGCAATGATAAAGAACAATGATGAATCTGTGAAGCATCTCACAATATGGATGAATCTGGAGGGCATTATGCTGAGTGAAATAATGCAATCAGAAAGGGCAAATATTATATGAGACCACTGCTATAAAAATACATGAAAACGTTTACACACAACAAGAAACAATCTTTGATGGTTACGAGGGAGGGTAAGGATAGGGATGGAAAAACACTAAATAGACAATAGATAAGTGGTAACTTTGGTGAAGGGTAAGACAGTACACAATACTGGGGAAGCCAGCACAACGTGTACAAGGCAAGGTCATGGAAGCTCCATAGACACACCCAAACTTCCTGAAGGACCAAATTGCTGGTCAGAGGGCTGTGGGGACCATGGTCTCAGGGAACATCTAGCTTAATTGGCATAATATAGTTAATAAAGAAAATGTTCTGCATCCTACTTTGGTGAGTAGCATCTGGGGTCTTAAAAGCCTGTGAGCAGCCATCTAAGATACTCCACTGGTCTCACCCTTTCGGGAGCTAGGAAAAATGAAGAAAACTAAAGATACAAGGGAAAGATTAGTCCAAGGGACTAATGGATCACAACTACCACTGCCCGGCTACCACCACTGACTGCTCTGACCGAGATCACAACAGAGGGTCCTGGACAGAGCCGGAGAATGTAGCACAAAATTCTAACTCACAAAAAAAGACCAGACTTACTGGCCTGACAGAGACTGGAGAAACCCTGAGAGTATGGCCCCTGGACACCCTTTTAGCTCAGTAATGAAATCACTCCTGAGGTTCACCCTTCAGCCAAAGATTAGACAGGCCCATAAAATAAAAGGAGACTAAAGGGGCACACCAGCACAGGGGTAAGGACTAGAAGGCAGGAAGGGACAAGAAAGCTGGTAATCGGGAACCCAAGGTCAAGAAGGGAGTGTTGACGTGTCGTGGGGTTGTTAACGAACGTCATAAAACAATATGTGTACTAATTGTTTAACGAGAAGACTGTTTGTTCTGTAAACCTTAATCTAAAGTGCAATTTAAAAAAAAAAAAAAGGAAGAAGAAAAGCCTTCTCTTTTCCAGGAATCAATGAATCCCTGAGTTTCATCTCACTGGCTTTGGCTTGGGCTGTGTGCTGGGTCACAGAGCACTTGACTGGTCAGGTCTGTGTCAAGTGCTACTCCTGGGTGTGGGGGAGTTTTGCTTGCTTTTGTGCCTAATCTGCTCCTTTTATATCTCAAAATTAATTGGCTTAAGACACACCCTATACTAATATGGCCTCATTAACCTAACAAAAACCTATTCTCAAATGGAATTACATCCACAGGTATTGGGGTTAGAATTTAGAACATATATTTTCAAGGAACACAATTCAATCCATAACATGGGTTAAGGCCAGACTCCACTTATTTCATAGATGGGGAAATTAAGACCCCAAAAAACAAACAAAAACCCCGTTGCCGTCGAGTCTATTCCAACTCACAGCAACCCTACAGGAGGCTGATAAACTTATTCAGAGCTCCTCAGTTAGTTACTGGCAGAACTGGGACTGAACCCAGGACTCCATGTCATACTTTGCTGCCTCCCTTTGATCTCTACAATGTCAGGTTTTTCTTCTTCACCTTTTCCACCTGTTTCTTTGACACATAAATTTAACCAATTTTTTTGAGAAAAATATTTGATAATTTATACTACTGTAAATACGTTTTTCCACCACCCGTCAGTCTGTCATCTGTGGTAGCTTGTGTGTTGCTGTGATGCTGGAAGCTATACCTCCAATATTTCAAATACCAACAGGGTCACCCATGGCAGACAGGTTTCAGTGGAGTTTCCAGACTAAAGCAGACTAAGAAGAAAGGCCTGGTGATCTACTTCTGAAAATTAGTCAATGAAAACGCTATGGATCACAGCAGAACACTGTCCTACTTGCTTGCTTTGGACACATCATCAGGAGGGATCAACAGCTGGAGGAGGACATCGTGTTTGGTGAAATAGAGGGCCACAGAGGGTAAGGGAAACCCTTGGTGAGATGGATTGCACAACAGCTCCAACAACAGACTCAAACATGCTAGTGATTGTGAGGGTGACAAGGGACTGGGCATTGTTGTTGTGTTGTAAACAAGGTCACCATGAGTCACATTCAACTCAATGTCATTATCTATGTTTTTATATTATTCTAACCAGAGTCCAAAATTAATTTATGTTTTGTTTTCACTGGATTATACCATATTTTCATGTAGATAGTAACCATGCTTGGTGAATTATTTAGCATTGCTTTAGTTACAATTGACGTAATACCAACTCAAACCACTTAAGCAAAAACGGCAATGTATTGCCTCATATAACTAAAGAATAAAACACCTGAAAAAGAGTCTGAAGAGAATGGCCCCTGAAGAGATTCTAAAAAGAAGAGCCTTAAAAAAAGACTATGAAGAGAATGGCCCTGAACAAATGTCTGAAGAAGATGAGCCTGATGAGGAATCTGAAGATGAAAGCAGCCCAGAAAAGATGTCTGGGAAAGAACATTTGAAAACTGCCCTGAAAAATGGTGTGAAAATGGCTCCAAAAAGAATTTGAAGAAAATGGTTTTGAAAAAGAATTTGAAGACAATGGCTCTGAAAAAGAGTTTGATGAGGAAGGCTTTGAGAGAGTTTGAAAAAGATCAGATGAAAAGAAAGAAGAGGAAAACACAAATGGAAAATATTTGATAGTGAGATGAAAAAGAAGACAAACTGCAAATGAGAAAGGGTTTGAAGATGCTGATGAAAAGGAAGAGAAAGATGATGAAGAGAAAAAAGCAGATGAAAAAGATGCAGATGGAAAGTTGTTCAGATATGATGATTCTAATGAGAACCTGGTTGATAAGGTTTTCAGAGATGAGTTGCATGAAGAGTCTGATGAGGACTGAGGATCCGTGTTGGGAATGCTGGGAATGCTAAGGAAGAAAGGTCCTTGTCCACAGGCAGCATCTTTGACATAAGCGGTGATGAGGATGACATTTAATCCCTTTTAGGGAGACTCCTTCAATCTCCAATTGCCTCGCCTTCAGGGTAATTACTAGTAGTGCTACAGAGACATGTATAGTGATGAGATGCCATCTGATTAATGCCTTGAAGTGTTCATTTTAACCAGTACTTAATCATTTTAAATGTATGTTAATTGGCTGTTCAATTAAAACTTCATAGTCCGAATGCAAGCAAAAAAGAAAGACAGGAGAAGTAAGTCCAAAGATAGCACAAAAACAGTAGCTAAGAGTAGACTAATCTTTCCTATTTAAAAAAAAAACAAACTCAAGTTAAAAAACAAAACAAAAAATTAACAAATCTAGCTCCATGCCACGAGAACAACATGAAAATAAAATTATCCACGTAAGTTAAAAACAGGGAACTGGAAAGGTATTAGACAGATATTAAAGAAAAGTAAGCCTGGTGGGTAATGAAATTGATCAGCAGAGAGTTCACTTCAATAAGCTGATTAAAATATTCGATCTAGCTGTATAAAATCCTAAAGACACTCATCCATGCACATCTTTAAATACATCCAGTAACTTTGTTATAATTTTATTTTATTACAGCACCGTCTTCTTGTTGCATGTGTTTGGGTCTTTAGTGTGTTGCTCATATGCTGTACACTAAGGCACAAATTGTCACTGCCCAAAGTACCAAGGCGGTGTGCAGTTTATGGGCTCTTCTGTCCAGATGGTCTTCAGCCTTTGGGCCCAGGATGCAACCATGCCCTTTCTTTCTTCTTCTGATGCAAACTCAGGAGCAAAATTGATTTGAGGGGCCAGGACTTTAAATCCACAGAAGTGCAACGTACCATGCTAAAGCCACAAAGAAAGAAAAGAGCTGATGAGAAACCAAGCCCACTACGTATCACTTGGTCAAATGATTAAAGGACAGAGGTGGTATGAAACAAACCTTCAAAACATAATAAAACAACTTTAAAGCTACTAGGCAACTGCACACAACTGAACTTCCCTACAACCTTAGGATGCTGGGCTTTCTAAGTGAAGGGAAGAACTTTGGACAGCTAGGATTCCAAATTCTATTATTACAACTGAGATTAGTCTACAATTTTTGCTACTGATTTGAACATTAAACTTTACAGTTTTTATTGATCAGGTGAAGTATGGTACATTCTTAAAATGGATTACTCTAGAATGAGGTAGCTCTAGCTATAATGTGCCATCATAAAATGTTGTTGAAAATATATTGTCAAATGGAAACAACACACTGTAAGCAGTAAGTGTAGTATGTTTCTCACGTTACAAAAAAAAAAAAAAAAAACCCTAATATACACACACACATACACATATATATTTCAGAATATATATGGGTTGAAAGAAAATACACACCATTGCTAAGCGATTATTTCTAAGGATGGGACTAAGGGAACTATATATTTTTACATTTTATATCGTCTTTTTTTTTTTCCCTACACCATATGCTTTTGAAAACTGGAAAAAATAGAAAGGTTTCTATAAAACTTGAAAAAGTGAAGCTTGCCTAATGATATGTAAGACCAGGGTGGCCTGTGGAGAAGGAAGCTCGGCTTAAAAGGAGCACCACAAATTGGAATCACTGTTGGTTCTCCTTTCAAAGACCATTTTTTCCCTAGAAATATTACACTCCTCTCCTTTGTGTTCCTTCCTATAAAGCCCATACCCTCATGGACCCTGCCCCTCTCAGCTGTGGGCCCCACGGCAGGCATACCAAAGGGTTCAATATGTGATGTCCTTGGCAATATCCCTTCACACCGACCTGGAGACCAGCTCTGCCTTAGGCTCCCGGTCTCCTCAGAGTTTGGGGACAGGCAGGATAGGCCCTGGCCTGGAGCCTGCACCCTTCCTTCCTACCCCTGCTCTATCTCGCCAAAGGGCACTGCTCACGAGGACAAGCTTTGTTCACTGCTTCTCCCTATCTCCTCAGGGTGCACATAGGCTACAGTGTCCACCTGGGAGTGCAGGTCTAGGAAGAGGGCCTGTGCTGTTAGGTAGGGAAGTTCCCAGTCACCAAGACCTGGAGGGGAGTGGCAATGGCAAGGGCATGGCCCCTGGGTGCTTGGACAGCAGCCTGTGGCAGAGGCTCGGAGGGAGGCCTTCAGAAATGCAGGCCACCTACCTCACATGCCTGGGGTCAGGGCAGCGCTGCCTCACTAAGCACTGCTGGGCCCACCACCTCAGGCCCTGAGCCACATCCCTGGTGTCCCTGCTACCACAGGCACATGCACGCTGCCACCCCAGGACTATGGAGCTGCCACAGAGCAGAAGTTAGGCTCAGGAGGTGGGCTTAGCTTCCTCCAAACAACACCAACAACTATGATTATAGTACGTTTTTCTATATGGGCCAAGCTTTTCAGTACTAAGCATTAAACAAAGGAAAATGTTTACTTTTCTATACGCAAACCATTTGCCATGGAGTTGATTCTGACTTGGGAAAAAAAAGAAAAAAAACCCTGTTGTTGTCGAGTTGATTCCGACTCACAGCGACTGTATAGGACAAAGCAGAGCTGCCCCATAGAGTTTCCAAGGAGCGCCTGGTGGATTCAAACTGCCAGCCTTTTGGTTAGCAGCCGTAGCTCTTAATCACTATGCCACCAGGGTTTCCATTCCAACTCAAACCAAAAAAAAAAAACAAACCCATTGCAGTCAAGTTGACTCTGACTCACAGTAACCCTGTAAAACAGAGTAGAACTGCCCCATAGGGTTTCTAAGGAGCCCCTGGTGGATTCGAACTGCTGACCCAAATAGTGAGTTTCAGGCTTACAAGAAGTCTCACTTTTACAGCTAGGAGGAGCTACATGTGTGGAGTACAATGGTCCTCCACCATGGAGTCAAGTGTGGTGGGCTTACCTGTAGGGGCCACAGGAAGTACCGGAAATCTCCGCTGACTCCAGCTTTTGCGTACATCTCGGCAGTGCCCCCAGTGGTTAGTGAGAGGAGCCCCAACTTACCCTGGAAAGGGGTGGACAGTGTGTGTGCTTGGGAATAGCAAGTACATATATGGGTGAAAGGGCTTCCAATGACAGGAGGGAACATCTGAGGTCAGTTCCCTCCAGGGACAGACACAGATGTAACATCCCGTCTCTTGCAGGCTAACCACAGGTGACAACTACATCCCAATAGGAGGCACCTGAGTGGCCAGGGGCAGTGGGCCAAGAGAACATGAACGTGCTCAGGCTGCTGGCAGGAACCAGGTTTCTCGGGAGCCATCTGTGAAATGGGCCAGCTGAGGCGCTGACCCCACGGGGCGGCCACCAAGACTGAGCAGAGCCTGATCCTTGAGGCGCCACCTCACAGTCCAAGAGGGAACTGAGGTGCTCAGTCTTTCCTTATACACACTTATTTTCTGAGGTCTTTTGAATTTAAAACAATTATTTATTGTTAACAACTTATTTCAGTGAGAAACTATAGCTCCCATTCACGGAGCATATACCAGGGCCCCTGTAGCCCTCACCCTACAAGGCAGAGATCCCATTACCTTGTTCTACCAAGTAGGAACCTGAAGCCCAGAGAAAAGACTGTGAGTAGCATGGTCCCTGGCTCTTTCTTCATCACGGGGTACAACCCCCTCTCTGGAGCCAGAGCCTTACCCCCATCAGGGTACCTCAACCTGCCCAGACACCTGTCCCTCATTCCTCTTTGTGGTGCACAGAGTTAGTGCGGGCACGTCTGTGTCCCCCACTAGAGTGAAGGCTCCATGTCTTCAGAAATTACGTGCTCCTCATCCGTGCCTGGAGTGTGGGGCTCTGCACACACTAGTGTGCAATCAGGAATGCTAAAAAACAAACTAGAAGTATAACTTGATGAACCCCCAAAACACACACACACACATACATACACACCTACATACACATGTAAACTCTCAATCACAAGCTCACACACACTCTGACACACACCATACACTCACACACACATGCACATACACGTGTGCACATATGCACCACATACATGCACACACATGCACACACACATACACGCACACACACACACACATACATGCACACGTATGCACGTGCACACACATGCATGCACACCTTTGCCCACAGAAGTCCTGGTGCCAGAGCACATACCTTGAGGAAACCAGAGTCATAGAATCCAGGGATGTCAAAGGCGAACCCTTGGCACAGCACCCTGTCCATCCAGCCCTTCAGGATGGCTGGCACACTGAACCAGTACAGCGGGAACTGAGGCAGGACACAGGGAGAAAGAAACACTGTCACTGTTTCAGAATCTCCACCTTTAGTCTACCTGAGGATTCAGAATGAATCTCACTGCCCAGCTGTGGGGCCAGTGAGCACGACACGTGGGCAGCATGAGTGGGGAACATTTCTTCCTATCGCTCTAAGGCTCAGTGTGGGTGTAATGACGGTGGGGCAGAGGGTGGGCAGAAGTGGTTCTGCATCCCCAGTGACAGCCCCCCGACACTGGCCCTGAGTAGGCAGGGAGGTGGTGGGAAGCCCAGCTGGACAATGGCTCTGTGGCAGCAGTCCTTGTGACTGAGCCAATCAGGGGGACGAGAGGAAAGTGTGGAAGAGAGGGCCCTCCTTCCATGATGGGGGGCGGGCAGGGGCTGCTGGCATCTGGGAAGCAGATGGAGTTAGTGTCTGAGAAGCTGTGGATTTTGACAACTTAACCTCTGATTAGACAACCAGCAGCAGGATCTTCCTTAAGTCCACTCTGGTTCCCATATAAGCCCTAACACTACCCAACGGTATCATCTTTAAAGGGAGATGAATGTAGACAATAAATCTGTTACCAGAGGTGGAAGCTCATGTTCTGTGTGCTTTCAACAGAAATCAAATGCAGAACACTGGATTGAAACCCAAGTCCCACATCCTATTGCTGTGTGATGATGGCAAGATTTTCAACTTCTCTGTGCCTCCTTTTCCTGATGTGACAAATAGGGCTACCAACAGTTCCTACTCGGAGTACTGATGTGAAGATTCCATGGCACGCTACCGTGCCTGACACAGAGAAAGTGCTTGGGAAGTGGTGGATGTGGTAACAATGATATGAGTGGCAGTGGCAATAAATGAAATGTTTACTCATGTGGAAAGAGACAATAAACTCTCTGTGCAGACCCTCTGGGCAAAGTATGAGGAAAAGAGAAACAGTGCGGGGAGAAGCAGAAGGGGCAGGGAAAAGGAAGAATACTGTAGAGAGAAAGGCCGTGGCTGACTGTAGCCATCCAGTTCCATGGGTGGACGAGGCAGGAAAAGAGGAGGTGGCTCCACTCTGGTCGGCAGACCTCGGGGTCAGGGTCATGAAAGGAAGGGCCCAAGTGCAGTCCTGCTAGGACCATCAGCCCCTGTTCACGGAGACCGGTCTTGATGCACCCCACTCTCCTGGCATGATCACTATTAACCAGCTGATCAACCATCCAGGTACCTAGGTGGAGGCACTGCCAGTCCCCCCGAGTCATCAGGATGAAAGAATGCCGTGCACCTTGACCAGGTCAGCCATTCCAGGTCATCTGGTCAAGGAAGGGACCCCTGAGGAGGGGTGTGCAGAGCAAGCCTGGGCTGGGCCGAGGAGAAGGGGAAGCACCTCCTCCCCCCACAATGTTGGTCATTTTATGATGGGTTTGTGACCTCCACCTCTGGAAATGCCATTTTTGTCCAGAACCTGGCCCACTGGCCCCTGCCCTCAGACCCACAGAGGGGCCATTCCCAGCAGAAGGTGTCTTCTCCCAGTTGCTACCTGCCCTCAAGCAGGACTGAGAGCCAGAGATGGTTTGGGCTAATCAGATCCCCTCCTCGGAAGTTGTCAGTTGGGATCTAGAGAATCTGGTCACTGGTGTGCAGTGGGGGGAAGAACAGCGAGCTTGCAGAGAGGCAGAGGTGTGAATCCCAGGAGAAAGGGCTGTGGGTTCCAGCTGCTCCTGGAGCCCACCACGGTCTGTCTCTACCAGGGAGAAGAAGGAAACAGAAGGCGCCCCCCAGTGATGGGGAGATTTTCAGGTAGCAGCTGCTCTGGCCCAAACTGTCTTGATGAACACTGTGTAGACAAATCTGGTTCTGAGCAGCCCCTGCACGTCTGGGGTGGGCACTGGAGGGAAGGGAAAGCAACAGGATCTCATGACAGAGACATTTTGCGGGCCGTTAGGCTAAAGAAAAGTCCTTCATGAATATGTACTTGGGAGCATTTTAAACAGGTGGTATCGGCTATATGGATCTCCTTACCCAACTCGACAGATATGTATGCAAATGTGCTAAAACTTAGCACCACTTTGAGGAGCATGAAATTCATTATTTGGAATGAGTCCGACTCTAATTCAATATACAGATCAGAGGGGGCACGAACCTGAAATATCACTAGATCAGCTTCCTGAACCTTTTTCTGCTCGTCAATTATATCTCTGGCCAGAGTCCTCTTCTTGCAGGCTTCATAGGCTTCCACCCCATAGCTGAAGAACTCGGGGTTAGAACACACACCTGGGGAGGAACAGGCCACATGGTCTCACCCCAGTGAGTGCCCAGAGCAAACCCCCACAAGAGCTGTATGCTACCTGGACCCGCAAAGCAATTCAACAGGTACTCCTTTAGCCCCTGTCAGATGCTGGGTCCTGGGGTTATGGAAATAGGAGAGAGGAAGACACTGTTCTTACCCTCCCAGGGTTCAAGGGAAGTCCAGTGGGAGAATAGGTAAACGATCAAATGATAAGTGTACAGAATGGTTATCTACCAGCTCAGTCTAACACTGCGGCCAGACAAGCATCACACCAAACATTAAAATGCAGAGCTGTGTGTAGTTCTGGAGGGTATAAGGAGTCCAGTGGGCCTGGAGGAGGCTGTGGCCAGCTCTCATGGGTGGGAGAGGAAACCCGTCCTGGGAAGAGCTTTGCAAGCTGGGTCTTGAACCCTGGGCAGGAATTTCCTAGGCTTCCTGGGATGCTGGAGGGAAAAGGGGTTGGGGGGCATTCAGGGCAAAGACAGGGACGGTCTAACCACCAGGCTCGCAGGGAGGGAGCATACCTATGGCATCAGGCTGACCGGTGGGAGGGCTGTAGTTGAGTCAAGCCTGCTAAGGAGTCTACACTTTTCCTGCACTCAGGCAGTGGGCAGCCATGCGAGGGTCTTAAGCAGGAAAAATAACCAAGAGCTCAGATCTGGGTCAGGGAGGCTCACTGAAGCAGCAGTGATTCAGGGACCAGCCTAGGGCAGAGAGCCTGTTGAGGTTCTTGCATCCCAGGCCAGGGTGAGGGTGGAATCAGGCAGTAGCAGTGGGCATTGGAAGGAGAGGTGTTGAGGGGACGAAATCTACAGCACGACCTCCAGCAACTAATACAGAGAGAGAAATTATTATGATTTGTCCTTTTAATTAGGATTTTGTCGACTGAAATTATCCATCAAAGCACACTGATTAGTATTATGAACACATTACTTTTCATTGGGAGTCCCTGGGTGATGCAAACATTTAACAAGCTCAGCTGCTAACTGAAAGGCTGTCAGTTCAAGTTCACTGAGAGGCACCTCACAAAAATGCCTGGAGATCTACTTCCAAAAAATCAGTGAAAACCCTATGGAGTGGTTTTAGTCTGACACACGTGGTGTTGCCACGTGTCAGATTCCACTTGATGGCAACTGGCTCGGTTGGTACCATTCACTGTTTCCATAAAACCCTAAGAAGAAAACTAACTAGTGTAGGTAAGAGGTTGTGTTTTATCAGTAAGGTTATCAAACAGGATTTTGGTTTCCCACATTATGTGGAACATATAGCAGGTGTAGTTTCGATAATTACTGGTGACTGGAATGCAAAGGTTGGAAACAAAGATGGATCAGCAGTTGTAAAATAGAGCTGAGATCACATGACAGAATTCTGCAAGACCAATGCCTTATTCATTGGAAATGCCTTTTTTCAACAACATAACTGTAGACCTTGTCAGATGGATTACACAGGAATCAAATTGACTATATCTGTGGAAAGAGATGATGGAGAAGCTCAATATCATCAGTCAAGATAAAGCCAGGAGCCGACTGTGGAACAGACTATGAATTGCTAATATGCAAGCTGAAGCTGAAGCTGAAGAAAATCAAAGGGAGTCCATGAGAGCCAAAGTACAACCTTGAATACATCCCACCTGAATTTAGTGACCATCTAAAGAATAGATTTGACACACTGAACACTAATGACCATAGACCAGAAGAATTGTGGAACGACATCAAGGACATCATACATGAAGAAAGTAAATGGTCATTAAAAAGACAGGAAAGAAGGAAAAGACCAAAATGGATGTCAGAAAAGACTCTTAAACTTGCTCTGAAGTGAAAGTAGCTAAAGCAAATAGAATAAATGATGGAGTAAAGGAGAGGAACAGAAGATTTCAAAGAGTGGCTCGAGAAAACAAAGTATTACAATGAAATGTGAAAAGACCTTGAGTTAGAAAACCAAAAAGGAAGAACACGCTCAGCATTTCTCAAGCTGAAAGAACTGAAGAAAAAAATTCAAGCCTTGAGCTGCAATATTGAAGGATTCTATGGCGAAAACATTGAATGATGCAGGAAGTATCAAAAGAAGATGGAAAGAATACACAGAGTCACTGTACCAAAAATAATTGGTTGATGTCCAACAATTTCAGTAGGTAGCTGTGTGGGACACAGAATCTGTTTTGACCTTTCTCTCTGGTTTCTTAAAATTGCCAGAGCAATTAAGGTGCCACGGCTGCTAACCAAAAGGTCAGCAGTTCGAATCCACCAGGCGCTCCTCGGAAACCCTATGGGGCAATTCTACTCTGTCCTATCGGGTCCCTATGAGTCGGAATCGGCTTGATGGCAATGGGTTTGTTTGGTTTTGTTTTCCAAAATAGCCAGGCAAGTAGGGCTATACAGGCGCCCACCCCTGGGGAACTAACTTCAGGAAGGTTGTAGAGCATGATGCAGTCAGGCATATTAATTGGAGCAATCGTAACTGTATTATGGCCCCAGTCACGCATATTCATTGAGGTCCCAATGCCTAAGGGATCCTGGGCCTTCAAGGTTCCTCTTTGGGGACTCCTGGATTGGTGAGAACATCCATGAACGGGAGAGGATGGCACATCCCTCGGGGCAATGGTGGCTCCATGCTGGGAACCCTCCCAGATTTTGTCTGATGTTTCTCTTTGCTACTATACTTTCTGGATAATAAATGTGTAACTGGACTTCCGGCAAGATGGCGCTCTAGGCAGAAACACCACGCCGTCCCTCCACAACAAAGATCCGAAAAACTAAGCCAAACAGAGAATCAACAATCCTGAAACCCTAGAACATCAAATGAAGAGATAAAGAAC